CTGTCGTAAGTCATAAACTCCATATTGAATTGGACCGAAGCACGTCAGTATAGTATGATCGAGAAACCTCCTCATCCGAGCTAAACTAAAAGTTAACTGACTCACCGATAAGTAATTCCCTCTTAATCGCACACTAAAAAAGAATAATAATTGAATGAGCATACATTTTAATAGCACGTTGTTGCATCGTGACTGGTCGCCTGCAATCCTTTCTCCATATATTACAAGGATAGTACATTCTAAAGATATATCAAGTTGATTGTTAACGCTTAAGTCTCGATTGAGATAAATAACTATCTATTTAATTTCTCTTTATATCAGAGTTCGTACTTTTCTACTTCGTTCTGACGTGTTCAACTATATATATCTTGGGCATTGCGTTCTTATTTTCTACGACGAGTCTGTGATTCGTCTGAAAGCAGAAATCTCCCATTGCGAGTCTGCAATAGTCCGTCATATGTGTTTTTTTTTTCCTGTCGCAAATCGCGCAATCCGCCTCCTTTCAAAACTGATCCGGAATCCTGGACGATGCGCCTGAGGAGGAAGAGCTTTCAAATTTCTTTCGTAACGAATCTTGAGCAAGTCGCGGCGCCGCCCGAGCACGCTTATTACATGCCGGGCCTGCAATTAGTTACGGCCGAAGATTCCGGCCAATTACGTTAACCAGGTTGACTCGCGCTATCCAGAGCGCAAATGTGCGCGGGTTACGTCTTACGTTCTCTTGCGGTGTTGCGTTGCGCGCGAGTCATCGAACAATGCGAGGTGAGAGTTTCGCGAGATCTGTGTATACAGCGATCAATCGATACTCGTGCAGTGCTGCATTTATGTATATTAATTTGGGATCTATAGTCATCTTATTTTGTTATGTAAACAGTCATCTGGAGTGACCGTTTTACACCTCAATTATTGTAAAATTACTGTTATTAACAACATATTGTATATTATTGTTTACCGATTTATTCATTTGAGAATATTATGAATATGGATATTTACTTACAATTTTCTGAGAAAAGTAAATGGAAATTAAACAAGTAAACGAAATAAGCACATTAAATAGCTATTACAACAGTATTTTTTTCTAAAAAAATAAATAATTTTATTAATATGTGACACTTTTGTATTACGATAGAATTATATATTTGGAGATTCATAAAGAGTAGTTATTAAAAAGGAAAGAAAATATATGTCTAAAAAGAAAGAGAGAAAACAATATTTTATAATATTTAATTTTGAACCATTCACATTTTTTTCACCGTTGGGATATAAAAACACCCCAGGTGATTATTTCTGAATGAATAAAATATTTCTTCAGACTCTGTCAGATTCTGCGACGGATTTACTATTGATTTTACAATAGAAATATGAAGAGCTGTCACCATTTCTGATATTAATCATTTTTAACGCAAATTACAAATAAATGTTTATTATGAGCTACTAAATTGCAATTGTGTTACATTCTAGAGATACAAAAGAGATCATGTTTATCAGTATATGTGCAGGTACCTTCATCGGTTGAAACTCATTCCTTTATTCTAATTAGATATAGGTACATCCCGCGCGCAATGACTGTCGACTTTATGCCCTGAATGTTATTTGGCCCGCAATTTTCTAGGATGATGTATATATCGCTTGCTTAGCAACGACATGGTCAAATCGTTGAGCTAATTGACTGGCGCTTTCGCGTTTCGCGAGAATATTTGCGCGTTCGCAAAACGAGAGCGCGAGCCGGCCACTTTGCATCCGCCAAAGAGCACTGGCCGTAAAATGCGATTTAAACTTAAAGCCGGACCGTGTCGTATTCAAGAATGTAATGGTATATATAAATATTGCGAATCGGTTACTGCGAGCAACCAAAGTTGTGCGAATAAAGACGAGAGTTTATTACGTGATGATTGCGTATATATACACCGCAATCGTTGGAATAAATTACGTTACGTGTTATCGAAGAAAAAAAAACCGCGATGCTCGAGAAATGTCGATCTCAAGGACAGAGAGATTGCGTCGAAAGGAAAGGATCCCGGTGAAATAAAGAGGCGAGCGGCGCGAACAAGTTCGCTTCGAGATCGATGGATAATCACGCGCGGAAAAGCGATCGATTGACCGGCAAATGTCCGATATCTAATTGGCGGCGCGCGAAATTGACGGTCTTTGCGCGCGATCCGCGGCTATTCCATTACGCGTCATTATTGTTGCGACAGGCAAATCGGTTTCGCAAGACGTGCGCGCGCGCGCGCGCGCGCGCAAACTTATCCGCGCGAACGGCCTTGCCTTTTCGCATCGCAGCCACCGTCGTCGTGTTGACGTGTAGGTGTCACTTGCTTTCCCGCCTTGAAAAACCTTTCACTGTTTTGCGCACCTACATACGTACAGACACGTAGTAGACGGCCGCGTTAGATCATTGCTACAAAGCCAGAGAAATCCTGGGGAGCGGTGTGTAACTCGTTTCATATAAGCACGGGCGATCGGATTCCATTTTGATCGCGTCGCCGTATCTATAGGGTGTTGCGGAGTCGCCGGATGTATTACGCACTATTATTGTTGCAACGTGGATAATTGCTTAAAACTCACATACGATACGAGTGGATCAAGTCTTGTCTATCGTGTCACAACATCGACAAAGCGAACGCACGCAGCCTCGATTGCAAGAAGGAACTTAATTAAGATATGAGATTGACCTACGACGATAATGCAGTCTTCTCGCAGTTTTCTTAATCTGGGAATAGTCATCTGGGATATTTTTACACCTCAGCTGTGAAAAAAATGTGAAACGTAAAATATTGTTTTGTATGGATGTTAATTTAATATTTTTTTAATAACTGTTTTTTACAAACCTTTATAAATGCGATTCAAAAAATTCGTAATAAAAAAAAGTACATTATGTTAATAAAATCTTTATTTTTTACAAATATTATCATAATAAGCTTAAACGCTTGCGTGTTTATTCTATTTAATACTTGTTTGATTTTTATTTTTTCAGAATATCCATAATGTTTTCAAATACTAATAAATCGAAAAACAACATACAATACGTTCTTAATAATAACGATTTCAATTAAGATGTAAAAAAAACAACTCAAGTCATTATTTTATGTAAAAAGAAGAATAGGTGACTGCTGCCGAGTTAATGTTTGTCTCCACTCTCCAATAACGCTCTGCTGCAATAGTTAGAGATGCTCATTTAATAAAATACCGAAAGTTTTGTGCTCTACATGTACTTCTTTCCTCACTTCCAAATAGATTTTTAAACATTTACTGCGCCGTTAAATACACCGGATTTCTTTTAATCAGTCGCCAGACGTTCTTTATGAATGCTAATTATGTCAACGGCGGTCCGACCTGTGCTAACTAGGAAATAATTATGTTAATGCTGCAGGCTTCAAAAAGAGGATGCCTTTAATTTTGAAGTGAACCTTTTCCCTTCATCCTTGTTTAAGATAGTTCTATGAGTCTCGATCCTTTTTTTCTTCCCCTCCCACAGCTTTTTTTCTAATACGTTGCATTGATTCTACATCGAGCAGCATGCTAATGCATCATTGATTTTTAATCATTGAATCAAAATTTGACTTGTGGTATGGTTTTGTTTCATTAATCACGTTTCATTGGCGCGATGCTTATTTACGATGTTTCAATGAAAATTCTGTTATTGTTACATTTATTATACCGCATTGCATTTTCTGCAACGTATAACTATACATACTTCGCAGAGTATATATAATCAAACAACAAACAAACATCGTATTTGCATCCGGACGCGATACGCTCTAATTCTGTACTTCTATTTACATTTACCCTCACATTTACCATCTAATTTCCTAGTATCATATTTTAGAAGAGAAGTAGAACTACGTTTGTAATGTACTTTGTCACAGTTCACACGGGAGATATATTGAGTTAAACATATTTAGTAATGTATGTATAAATTCAGAGATGAGTAGATTTAGCAAGTATTTGAAATAGTCTGTCTTATCTATTTATTTAAATATCTCCTGAGAAATCTTGATATAACATTTTACTTGTAAGTTTTATCTGATATCAATACATTTTACATCAACGTTAAATTTATCCTATAATCCGCACATTAATTACACGTCGATCGTATATCCACAGCACGGTATTTCTGCTTGGAACTCCGCTTAGATTACCGAGAAAAGAACGCTCGTTCCACCTCGTTGTTCGCGCATTGTCGTAGAAACGTGGTGAACTTTCATAGAAAACACCTCAATAGATATCACGATTCCATACCTCGAACACACTGGCCGCAGAACGACCTTCAACTCTCGCCGATTCCTCCGACAAATCAACTCGCCGGCCGGAGTTTCGACAGCCAATTCTAGGAACAATCATCGCACCGTTGCGTTCACCCACATTTCACGCAGGTCATGACTATATAAAATCATTCTCTCCCTGCCCCCGCAACGCCGCCCAATTCACTTCATCGAGCACTTTGATTTTTCACGAATGCGCCACCGACGGACGCTTCGTTTCATCGTAGCCATTTTTCTTTTGAGTTGCCATTCCCTACCCTGTTCCTACTTTCTGTTACAGATCTCATATCATCTATAGGCACCGCGTTCATCCGATAACGACGAGGATGTAGCCCATGTGGGGCTTTTCGACGAGAGCGAACCGCACGAATTTCAAGTCAAGACGATGATGATGGGCGCGATACAGGGAAGAGGAATTGACCGAGGGAAGAACAGGTCAGCGTAGAAGAAAGAAGGAGAGATTCCTCCTTGCTTCCTCGCGAGAGAACACGCCGGATGTTATCGCGAGACTGATAAAAACACTGCCAGGAGTAATGACGAGCTAGATTGCCGCTTCGTCCGCTGAACCGTTCCTTGGTCGATCTTAGCTTTTGCTCCTCGCTAACTGCCCTTCTACCTTCCCCCTTCGTGTCAGTCCTGCCTTCGTCACGTATACACGTACACGCTTATATTAATATATACACACCCGTTCTCTCTCCCTCGAGAGATCAAAGACTGAAAATAAAAGGTGGCGACATGTTGGGCGTGAGTCAGCCGGGCAACACGCCCTCGAGCTTACGGCACTCGGCGAGCTTCTCGTGCTTGCAACGCGGCACCGCCGGCGAGGGTCATCGCGCGAGGACCTCAACATTGCTGCAACAGCCGAGTCTACAACTGAACAACGGTCATCATCAGTACACGTCCAGCGGCCAGGCGGCGGCAGCTGCGGCTGCGGCGGCCGCGCATTGCTCTCTCCTGCAGCATCACCAGCAACACTCGCGCGAACCGTTCGATCCCGTCCTTCAGGACAGCAACGATTACGGCTTCGTGCGGATCCGACCACGGTTGCGCAGCACGAATGCAACCTTGTATCACGAGGAGGAGGTGGCGGCCGCGAAGAACGCCCTGAGGGAACAGCGCGACGCCGCGGCGTTTAGCGACCGAGAATGCGATTCCAACTTCAGGGACTGCCCGTTGAAAGTCAAGGATCATCGCGACCTCTCGCCAAAGGGAACGGCCAAGAACCAGAATCCATTACGGGGCGCGTTAATCCTTTTTACTTCAACATCATCCTGGTGGAAGGCCCGACAACGAGAGGAACAGCTAAATGCAACTAGCGGTGCCACTGCCGCCGCTATTAGCGCACCGTCGTCAGAACGGAAATGGTCAGGTACTTCGATGGCGTCGCCTTCGAACGAGAGAAAGTGGCCGTCCTCGATGACGTCGCCTACGAATGAGCGGAAGTGGTCCGTGGGTAACAGCCTGTTGACGTCACCGTCGAATGAGAGGAAATGGAACAGATCCTCGGTTTCATCCACATCGACGAACCAACAGGACCGGAAATGGCGATCCCTTGGCGCACTTTTAAGGACTCCCGTCGGAGCTAGCAGTAGCTCTCACGTCAACCAGAATTCCCTCTCTCATAACATGAGCGTATCCATGATGGAGAGTGATCACTTTCGCGAGGAATCGCGCGGGTCGAGCTGCAAGACGCGCTACCAACAACCGACGTCCTACTCGGCACGAGTGTCCCGTGTCAGTAGAGACGTTTACCGGGAGAATGGAGAGTTTGGTCAAATTGCTGGCAAGTCGAAGGTCAGTCGCAGGTTGTACCAAGATAGCGAGCCGGTAAACGAGCTCGACGAGAGACACGTTCCGCAACGTAACCGACATCAGCTGGATGACCTCGAACAATGCAGGAGCATTAGAGAAGGACGGGACCATTGCAGAGCTGCGGAACAGAGCGCTGTAGAGACTCGCGGCACGACCTCCACTACACGATCGAGCCGCGCACAAAGCTTTTATCTTCTGGATGACTTCCTGCGGCCGCAGCCGCAGCAGCTGAGCAACAAGTGCATGTTGAATCTGTACATGTCCCCGTCGCACGCCGTCAAATGCGGCAACGAGCATGGTAGGTCATGCGAGGTCAGACAGGCGACCTGCCAGCAGGCGAACGTCAGCAGCAATATTACGCCGCCGCGACGCCACAACTCGAGCTCGGACAGCCTCGAAGTGGCGACCAGTCCGTTGCCGCCGCCGGTGCCGCCGCCACCGCCGCATCAAGCTGCCGGTAATACGCGGGACCGCGAACGGAATGAGAACCCGAAGGAGGCGAGTAAGGACGTGTGCCCGTGCAAACTATGCTGGACCAATATGCAGAGATCCCTTGTGGAAGAGGTAAGTGAAGTCCCCCTCGAGGGGTGCGCCGGACAATAATTGAGTCGTTCGTCACGCCGCGTACTCCACGCTTGGAGATCCGCGGGAGATTCCGCTTGAGAAATGAGGCTATGATTAAGGGACTTTGACAAAGGATCGCGTTGGACGGAGGTTGCCGTCCCCGTCTCGCCGATTCATGTGTACGAACGTATACACGAGGTCGTCTCCTCCGACCAATCTCGTTCATACGCTTTTTCTACACGTACATTTATTTCTTAAGTAAAATTAAGATTTTGATGAGAGATTATTGAATTCTGGTGAATCCTATTAGATATAGTTCTTAGATTATTGCATTATTGGAAGATATTGTCAGTATGAGATGAAGCTAAATATACACACAGAATAATACATACTGTACACAAATAATACTGTGTAATTTGTTTCAAGTATTTCAAAAATTCCACATGTCCACAAATTTGTTATAAGTTTATCACATCATTCAAAATGTATTCTGAACTCTAGTAAGTTTTGATACTTCAATGAAGATTATTAAATTAAAAGACATTCGGTTTGTTTATTATATCAAGTCATCTTTTGGATCAATTTTATAATATTCTTTGAAAAAATTAAATTCTTGTCTCTTTTAAGTACATATAACAATGAGTTTTTATCAAATTTGTAACAAGTACATTTTAAGATTATTATCAAGAAAATATTCTCTGTTAAAGATAACCGTTATTTATAGGAAGAAAGTAAATTGAGTAATCACTTTTCTTAGTAATAGAATAATATTTTTCTATATGTAGATAGATATGTAAGTTATGTACATATGTAAGTAATCTTGCTTGCGACTCTTTCATACAATTTAGAGCCGATTTTCTTTTAACGAAAGTACCGGTATATATACAGTTATGATTTATGAATTGTAAAACGTGAATGAGCAATAAAATGTGATTTTTTCGTGTAATTTCAAAACGAATCTGACTTTAATAGAATTTTAATTTGCGGCTTAATATCGTTAAGATATCCAACATTAAAGATTATAAAGTAATAGAAATAGTTGTTCGGATATACATGGTGGAATTCCCCCGGAAAGAAATCGATACGTCTGAAAGAGAAACCGAATAAGCGACACGGCATTTCGCCTGGACGGGGAATTGGCCAGCTCGTTGGATTTTATCGTAATCGTTATCCGCGATGTTTATGTCGCGGCGAGTAACTTTCACCCCGGCGTGCGCCACGACTTCGCGATCGCGCGAAGATAGACGTCCGGTCGCGGAAAGGTCCTCGCAGCGGGTCATCGGAAAAGTCGTCTCCTCTCAGTGAGAAGGAAGGAGAATCTACTATTCTCAACTGTCCGGTCGCGTCGACGTGGTTCTGCGCCGGACGACTTGCTATTAACTCGCCTTTAACCCGTTCCGCGTCGTTCACCGCGCCAAAACGAGCGATCCTAACGCCTCTGTCAGAATCCCGCTTTACGATCGTTTGCGTGATCGGTAGCGCGCGATTCGATAGAGACGCGGCGACGACGGGATCCCCGCTTCGTGGAACACGCCGTAGTTAGCAGCGTTCGATCGGAGAAAGACGAGTTGAAGAGTTTAACCAAGAGAGCGGTGGCTTCGTAAAGTAGCGTCTTATCTGTCTTATAAATTAATTTTCATGCTCTCAAGGCAAGACTCGCCACGGCCTTCGTGCTTTAACGCGTATAATTTATTGTATTGTATTAGTAGATTGTATTATCTGCAGATACAATTTTTTTAAAAAGGGCTTTGTAACGGGATAAGAAACCGTTGCAATTTTTGTATATTATTTTATTTATTGTTGAACTTTCGACCGACAAATCAAAAGATACCCGCATCGAAGATCGCGATGTCGCGCGATAAACGGTTGAGAGATTCAATCGAGCTTTTATCTTGCGTAAAAGGCAACGCGATTACATTGATCAGCAGTCGTTGGATAAGAATTCACATCGTGTATTATGCGGTGACAGACGGAATAGATGAATGTGAAGACGCGGTGTGCACTTATCCTCGACATCTTACGATCGCGTGATTATTGCGAATAACCAGGAGCATTTCGAGTGATATACGTCATATGATAAGAGTAATACACGAAATTAAATTTTGCTGCATTAAAATTATACAATCGCAAGTCAGATCATTGTTTCATAATTTTTGCTATTAAATATCTTAATGATAGAGTTGCAAGAAAGGTTAAAATTTTATTAAAAACTCACTAATTTTTTTTATATGTATTTATAATTGATGTTCAATATTTGAAACTGAAATATATTTACTGATTTGCATATTTAATTAACATTTTACAGTTTTTAAATTAAAGATGGTCTGATAGAGGTTGAAACGCTTGTATATTTAGAATATTTTTCATATAATTTTTAGTATTAAAACCTAGCTTGGTTCGCTAACGTAAAATCTAGTTATTACTGTTTTTATTTGAATTTTATTAAAGTTTTTTATTTAGAATTATACAGAAAATTATCAGATTTTATCTGTGTTCGTTGGTGAAAAAAGGTAATTGCAGTTATACGAGATTCAGTTCTGTCGAGTCTCTAATTTAGTCGAGCTCGACATGCAAAATGGCAATATATGCTGGTACCATATCTTGAAACGCGACGTCCTATATGTACAGATCGGGTTCATCGACATGTAGCCACTTCTGTGCGTAATCGATAGTGTATAGGGTCTCCTACGAACAGAATTGTAATGCGCATCACAACACCGTCCGCATCACAAACCCTGCAACCGGTATCGATCCTTTGACCCGAGGAAGGCCTCAGACGAAGAACCACGTTTCTCTATTTGCTCAATTGAATCCAAGCAAATATGCGGTAAAGCTACGCACTCGTCCCGTATGCGGAAGGGCAAAGGGGAAAAAATGCACATACACGTATAACTTTCAAGCACATATGTCTGCGATGAAATCGAACATAATTTAACGAAAGACTTGCTGTACCTATCAATCAATTAATATGTAGATCGAGTAATTTTCCCTTTTTTTTTTACAATTAATGACGCTTAGTGATAAATACGCTATAAATATATCGCAGACTAAACATGATTCGCCCGCCCCAAGATTCTCATAGTCTTTCGAACTTTGAATTGGGCACAAGGTTGAGCTAGCGATGCCGGGTTACAAATTCACACGCTTTTCGGGTCGTGGCATACGCACACGCACACGTAAATCCGACGGCTTATCGTCGGGGATAAGTGGAAGCACGTGCTGGTGCGCGGGGGGGTGGGGGCGGAAGGGGG